TCTGGAGTGGGTTTATGTCACCAGATCGGCTTCTCAGTCAGAGAACACAGTAGTGGTGACAGAGGGTGGCTTTGGGAGAGGAGGGTTTGCATACCAACATACCTCTTCTTCAGAAAAATCTAAAGCCAAGGAACAGGGGACCTCAGCTCACTCTGTCACTTGCTGAGCATTTATGCTGAGCACCTGCTCACTCACAGGCAGAGCTCTGCTGAACACCAGGGACTCTGAAAAATTAGCCAGACTCTGCCCGCAGGGAACAATCAATCTCAGCTGGTAAACAAGAGTCACCCCATGCAGAGGGAGCTATCATAGAAACAGAACATGAAACACTTCGTATCTCAGCTCAGTGTAGCTCTCTGGGTTAAACACACCTTTTTCAAGAGCATAATTTAGTATCAAATGTCCTCATTGGGGTAAAGGGCTTAGTGAGCCTGGGGCTAGGAAAGCAAATGCCACCACTAACATGAGGACAGCAGGCTATCACTGTCCACTGAGAAGGACATGGAATGGCTCCTTCCAGCAGCTTAAGGTGCAGATGGTACCTTTTATTCCTACTTGACTTAAAACAGAGCACATCTAATGCCCTGTGTCACCTGTTACCACCCCCTCCCGCTATACATGTTAATTTTCCTGGAATTCTTGGGAAGGGTAGCAAGCATATCCAGTATGGCCCAAGCCAAACCATGGGTATCCTGCAAGCTTCTTCCTCTCCCATTGACTACAACCAGTAGTCTTCATGTTTCCCTCCCTAATATCTCTCATCTATCCCTCCTCTCTTTCCTCCTCCTAACAGCAGCAGGCTAACAGGCCATCCTCCCAAACCCTAGGCTGGACCCTTAAAAGAGATTCTCATCAGAGGGTTCTTCTAAAACACAAATGATCCTGTCACTCCCCAGCTTAAACCCCAGGAAAATCAAGCCCACATTGCTTCCTAAATCATATAGCTGTCCCTTTGTCCTTCTTGTCTACCCCCAGTTCAGTCTACTGAGTCTGCCTCCCAGTCCAGGCAGACACAGACACTGGTGTTTTCCACCTAGGAAGCTCTCCCTTCCCTGGCTATCTTTCCTGCTTCAGTCCAGTGTTGCCTCCTGAACTCTCACACCCTTTATTTCCGTCCATAAAATGTACATAGGTGACTGTCTGTGAAGCCTGTCTCCATAGGGCTGTAGGGGAGCATCTGTTCCAGCAGGAATGTCAGACAATGACAACCAGTCATCCATACAGCAGTGGAGTAGGAGTAATACTCAGATCTCAGGTGGTTCTGCTGATTCTCTGTGTAGAGGTCACCAGGGTGGCTTAGATCCGAATCTGGCTGAGTACCTATGGATCCCATCTCTTTGGAGGTTAGGGCAGAAGGATTTTAAGTTTGAAGACACCCTGAACTACACAGCAAGACTGTGCCAGGAGACAGAGAGAAAGGAAGGGAGGAAGGTGAAGGGGAGGAGAGGGAAGAGGAGGGGAGAGGAGAGGAGAACAGAAGAAAACAGGAGCTTTCTGAAAGTTCCCATTGCTCAGCAGCTTGGAACCAAGCAATTATTTGTATGTACACATACAAAGGACATTGAAGGTTAGGAGCAGGATTACATTTCATGGTGTTAGGGCACAATGTTTTGCAATGTTTGCAGCTGGGCACAAAGATGCCTATAGAGATCTCATTCAGAATATGAATCAGAATCTGCCACATATCCATACTGTGCTAGGTGCCTTCATTAGGCTTTTACCAAGAAAGAATGTATAATTCATCATCCAAATCAGGATGTTTTTAAGAGTACACTCTAGGACAACAGGTATAAGCTAGACTGCCCCAGCAAGGCCAAGGTTTAGTACCATTCTGCTTCTACCCCACATACATAGTGCCTTGCTGTTGCTGTTAAATAACTCTCACATGCCTGTAATATGTATTACCAACAGTTACTTTGTTTAATATCTATTTCCCTACTACATTGCAAAATTTAGAATTTTCTCTCTATCAGAACTACAATGCCTGGAATAAGCAAGTGTGGTAGACAAATATTTGTGGAGAGAAGAAAGAAAAGAATGGGATCAAAGACCAAGTCTCAGATGTGCTCATAGCCCAAACTGAGATCTTGCTTGGCACCTTCAGAGCCCCTGAGCATAGAATAGCTAGACTATCCCCACATTTCAGACTCATGGGAGCTCTGAGAGAATGAATGCATGCTATATTAAGCAGTTCACTCCACAAAAAAACACAAAGCAGTGAGGATAAAGGGAACAAAGAGGAAAGTGTGGGGTCAGGGATCCTACTTGGAGTCAGCTTGACTCTGTATAATTCCTTGTTTGGACCACAAAGGTGTGTATTAAGAAGAAAGTAGCTTATACTATTGTCCTAGCAACCAAGCATACTGACAGCCAAACAGTCAATGATAAGTCAACATGTGTCATTAAGAATGTCCTAATATTTCTACAGTTCAGTTTTGCCTGAGCTATGTTTTGGAACATAAATGAGTATCTAGTCATTTGTGAGCAAACTGATAGCTTCTAATTGATGATGGGTGTGGCAAGCTAGGGGCTCTTCTTCTTTAGCCACTTGAGTTGTTTTCCTTGGGCCCCTGTGGTAGTTTGAATAAGAATGACCCCCATAGATTCATATATTTAAATGCTTAAGGAGTGAGTGGCACTATTTGAAAGGATTAGGAGGTGTGGCCTTGTTGGAGGAAGTGTGTTACTGGGGGGTGGGCTTTGAGGTTTCAGAAGCCCAAGCCAGGCCCAGTGGCTCTCTCTTCCTGTGACCTGAAGATCCAAATGTAGACATCTCAGCTACTTCTCCAGCACCACATCTGCCTGTGTGTCACCATGCTTTCTGCCATGATGAGAATGGACTAAACCTCTGAAACTATAAACAAGTCCCAATTAAATGCTTTTTTAATAAGAATTGCCTTAGTCATCATGTCTCTTCACAACAATAGAACACTGACTAAGACAGCCCCTCTACCATCCACTTCCTCCCCACCAGCTCTTTTCTTTGGATTTATCTAAACACCACTTTGTTCAGTGACCCCACTCTGTTGCATCTGCTGACCCAGAATCCAGTCTTTCTTGCCTCATTATGCCATCTTTTTTTCTAGATGACAGTTTTATATCTATGAACAATATTACATTTGGCACGATAGAGTGTGCCATGTTCAACCCAATCCAGTTCAACAAGCAGTTGCTGAGTGTCTTTTACTAGCCAGATCAGGAGAACTAACAGGCTATTCCCCAGCTATTGCTGCTGGGAAGGAGGCAGCAGCAAGAGAAGGAATGATGCTCTGCTGGGAAGTCAAGAACCGATAGAGAAGCCTGGGGGTAGGGGGAGGACTCTGCAGACTGCAGGTACTTCCTGAGAAAATACAATGCAGCCAACCCTAGTCTCTGAAAGGTATGTTGATGGGACAGCCTGGAGAATTCAGAGTAATACGTGGGTTGGATGCACACAATTGGCCTCCAGCCGTGCCAAGAATGAGCTGGAGAAGGAAGTCACATACAGGCCCTGACAAAAGTGGTCCATCAAAGAACCCAGGAAAGAAGAATTCACATTCGCAATCAAGAAAATGGTGGCTTCTGAGCTAGTGAGATGGCTCAGTGGGTAAAGGCACTGACTCCTAAGCCAAGGACCTGAATTAGATTATCCAACACTCAAATAGTGGAAGGTGGAAATGGACTCCCACAAGCTGTCCTCTGACCACCATATGCACGCTGTGGAAAAATGTGTGTGTGTGTGTGTGTGTGTGTGTGTGCGTGCGCACAAGCACACACACACACAAATACAGTAAAACGATTTTTTAAAAATAAAATGACAGTTTTAAAATCAAGGTCACTGGTCTTTGCTCTAACGTATGCATTTGTCAGCTTTATTTTACTCTATAATTAGTTCCATTTTTTTATTGGCACCTTCAGCAGAGTAAGCAGAAAAGGTCACACTGGTGTATCTCTGAAATACCCCAACTATGGAAACCTGCCTTAGCTACCACTATCTGCCACATGATACACACTTAAGGGGCAATCAAAATCATTGTCATCACAGCTGGGAAGGATTTGTGTGTAATTTTACTGGAATGCCGTTCAAACAATTGTCTCCTTTATGCGCCATTTTTGACGGCGTAGTTTCACTTCACCTTGAACACTTTCAGTAAGGGAAAGCTCCCAGGACACACACTCCATCCTGAGGCAGCTCTAACTTGCTACAAAATTCTATTTCCTATGGCCACCCTACCTCTGCCTACCCCATGCCATCACTCCTTAGCACAAAGGTCTGCTATGCCCTCTTGCTGATAAGATAGCTTTTCAGAAAGAGTGACTCTCATCCCTCTCTTTCTCTACACTACAAATCCCCATTGTCTTCTCTGGGTTCTCACTGCAACAATTTGCCCCTCTGAGCAAGCATAGTGTGGATCTGTCTATATGGTTTCATTGTTTCTTCCAGAGCAGTATGCCCTCTTCTCCAGGACCATAGTCCCAAATCCAACTATGTGGACCACAAGACTATGCCATCTTTACACACTCTGGCTTCTTGGGCCACCACATTGGTATGTGCCATTCAAACTAGGCCAACTCCAGTCTTTTTGGAACTGGAAAATGAGCATCAAGGTAGAAATGGGAGTCACCAGATGGGAGACATGGCAGCCATGTTCCTTGCTTGTGGAGTAGACCAGCCTACATTCTTCAAGTACATTATATACTGCTGGTATTCCATCAGATTCTTTATTTTTCTTGTGCTAATTCAAGTTGTAACTTTTTGGCTTATCATCAAGGAGCCTTGACAAATAAAGATGTGTTACAATATATTTCCTTCATTTCATTATACCACAACTGAGTCAATATTTATGAAAGGTGGGGGAAAGACACTGGGCCTTTCAAATTCAGACACATGCATGGTTAGTATGTTCATGATTTTGCTCAAGTAGCCCTAACTGAAATATGTCTGAGGACTTCCCCATACAATTTTCCATTCCCAGATCTGGCCATTGGCCAGCAGCTGCCAAGGGCATCCTGCTACTCACTGGGTCGTTGTACATCTTGATGATGAGTTGCTTCACTCCATGCAGGGTGGGATGGGCCCATGGAGAAGGATCCAACCAGTGACGATTCAGGTCAAACCCCATCAGGGAGCATCTAGACAAAGTCCAAACTAAGAATCAGGACATCTGGGATGACTGGCTTCCCATATACCCATTACCGTAAGAGAAAGTCACTTACCTGTCACTTATTGTTCCCCAGATAGAGTTCTAAGGAGTTCACTAGGATTTATTAATTTAGGGATATCAATATTTTAAGGTCACTATTATTATGATTCCAAACTGATAGAAGACACTGAATTACAGAGCAGTTCAAAAATACTCCTATGACTCAATCCCACTTTGATACTTATGGACACAGGCACATTACACAGTGCAGGTGAAAGAATGCTCAGGCCCAAACCACTGGTATCCCCGAATATCCCCATTATTCCTCTGTGTTCCATACCTATCTCCAAAATGTACAAACTTTTATTCCTTACATCTACTGATGCCACCTGAGCTTGGTGGCCTTCTTGTTTCCATCCTTGCCTCCATCCACTCCAACTTTTTACACAATGGCCAAGGTGATCTTCTTAATACATAAGCCATATCTCTCCTCTGCTGCAGGGGTTCCCTGTTACCTTGGGCATAAAAGCCCACATCTTTACAATAGGCTATGAGGCCCTATGTCATCTACCACATTAGCCTTTTTGGTCTCAGCTACTTCTACCATCCCTCTTGCTTGCTTTGTAGTAGCTACTGTCGACATGTTCTTCCAACACAGCAGACATTTCCTTCCTCAAGGATAGTGCCAGGCTATTCTTTTGCCCAGATACTTCTTCTCTAGGTACCTGAGTGATTCTCTCTCTTGCTTATTTCAGTCTCCATGCCAGTGTCACCTGGAAAATTAGGCCTACCTAAATTACCCTCAACCCTCCCTTAATCATGCCACTGGAACAAGGGTAACTATGACCTTTGTTCTCTGCCTTTCCCTTCTCTTATTCCTCCACATTTGTTAAAAGTTCTGTTTGAAATTGAGTAGGGGCACTTTCTCCAGATACCCCTGTGTCTTCATGTAGCACACATTCTCTCCAGGATAGACCAGATTACTGAAAAACCTCCAAAACCATTGTGCTTGCTCATACTTCAAATAATCTCTGTGTCACTGTCCAGTATGAATCTCCCTCATAGAGCTGACTATGTAGCTGCCTTGATTGAGAGTTGTCTGTGGCCCATTATGTAGAGAAAAAAATTTGATCTTTGCAGATCTTTATCCATGTTCAAATGGACATTTAGTCATATCTCTGTTACCTCTCTCTGGCCTAGAATGCTCATCCTTTCCTTCCCTAGTCTTCTGTCCCTTAGTTTAACATAACTTGCCAACCTATGTTCCCTCTCTGTTTCCAATAGGCCATATAATTTTACCCCCTCTCTGCTTATAATTTGCATTCCCACCTATCACCTTACTTGGAAAACTAAAGGACTCCATTGAAGACCTTCCTTCTTTAAGATAATGAAAAAGGAGATGGAAAGGGAGACAACCAATAATGATTTCTGTCCTCTAAAATAAGCACAGAGGGAATATAACTAATGTATTGTTATGCTCACACTTGGAGAGACACATGGAGAAAGACCTCAAAAAGAAGAAGCCATGTGAGTTGGACTTTGTTGAAGGAATGCATATTTTTTCCATTGTTAAGGACAGAAGGAAATACATAAGCCAAAAAAGGAGTGTAAAACCACTTGGTATTTGAGGGAATTGAGGACAGTTTGCTTTGACAGGATCATATAGCCTGCATATATATGTTCAGGAGGTATTGATGGAGAATCCATAGAGGGAGATGGAGTGAAATGGGAAGGGCATTGGATGCCTGGCAAACATGTTGATTATATTTTGTCTCCCATTGCTGTAGTTAGATCAACCAAGTCTTCAAGTTGGCCTCTCTAATTATGAAGCAAGAAAGAGACAACCTTAAAGCTACTTACAACATCCCCATCGCCAAGGGACAATGTGATCAACTCATGTCATGATGTATATTACTAAGTACTAATGTTTTATCTGAATTAATCCTATGAGGGAGGTCTGGTATTATCCCCTATTGACTAACCATAAAATCACTCTCTTTTTTGGTTTTTTGAGACAGGGTTTCTCTGTATTGTTTTGGAGACTGTCCTGGAACTAGCTCTGTAGACCAGGCTGGCCTCAAATTCACAGAGATCCACCTGCTTCTTCTGCCTCTTGAGTGCTGGGATTAAAGGCGTGCTCCACCAACGCCCAGCTATAAAATCACTCTTAAGAACAACAAATAGTCCTTAAAATGGAAAGTAGAAAATCAAAACCCCCCTTCTGTCATGAGGTATCATTTGATCTTGGGAGGGTCTACTCACGGTTCCTCTGATCATAATGACAATAGTCATGCTGTACTAGAGGAGGTCCTTCTTTAACATTTCTTTAAAAACAAACAAACAAACAAAAAAACCCAACACAGTAGTGAACCTGCTGGGAATCAGGCATTATTATTTCAATTTCCTTGATCACAGACACATTTGGGTTGTTTAGATCCTTTTGATTTAATTTTGGTAGTTCATAAGTGTCTAGAAATTTACACCTCTCACTCGATTAATTTGGGTCTTCTCTGTCTTTTGGCTAGTTTGGCTAGAGGATTGTCAATCTTGTTTAGCTTTTCTAAAGAATCAGCCCTTTGTTTTGTTGATTCGTTGCAATATTCTTTTTATTTCCATCTCATTAACTTCTGCCTTGGTATTTTTTCCTATCTATGATTCAGTGTTTGACTTGTTCTTCTTTTTCTAAGACCATGAGTAGCATCATAAATTATCTACTTGGGATTTTTCTGGATTTTTCCCCAGTGTGTACACTAATAATTATAAACCTCCTATTAGAATTGCTTCAAGTGCATTCCACAGATCACTATATGTTTTGTTTTAATTTTCATTCAATTCTAGGAATTTTTAACTCTCTCCCCTGAAGTAGAGATCTGTTCAATAGCTTTGCTTACCATCTATTTCTAATTTTATTTCACTGTGATCAAATAGAATACAAGAAACTCTTCCAGTGTTTGTGTCACCATTAAGATTTGCTTTGTGTCCTAAAATATGATCTCTTTTAAAGAAAGCAACATGAGTGGCTGAGCAGAATATATATCTTGTTGATTCCTATTTTGTCTGGATGACTTGTTTGTGGAAAAGAGAAAGCCAATGCAATCATCCACTATTGTTGTGCTAAGTTTGGTCTGTAACTTTCTACCCATAGTCTTCGTTTTATGAAACTGGGTGATCCAATGTTTCATATGTGGGTGTTTAGAATTGCTATGTCCTTTTGATAGATTGTTCTGTCAACCATTACAAAATGACCTTCTTTATCTCTTCTAATTTTGAAGTCAGCTTGGTTAGATACTAGTGTATATAAACACTCCTGCTTTCTTTCTAGCTCTATTTGCTTGGAATGCCCATCCCCATCCTTTTCTCTCCCTATTTTTCTTTAATTATATTGTTTTCTCAAAAAGGACGCATCTAATTAGCTTCATGATCTGTTACCTTATGCACTCAATCCTTTTTTTTGTTTGTTTGTTTTTTTGTTTTTACGAGACAGGGTTTCTCTGTATTGTTTTGGAGGCTGTCGGTCCAGCCTGGCCTCGAACTCACAGAGATCCACTTGCCTCTGCCTCCCAAGTGCTGGGATTAAAGGCGTGCGCCACCACCGCCTGGCTGCACTCAATTCTTAATATCTTCATCTGCTGTATTACTATTCTTGAGAGCAATGACAGGCAAAACGTCTTGGCCCCTTGTTGAACAGCTGATAGAGCTGACTTCAAACCCAAGACTGTACAGTTTTAAATAACACCCATGCTCACGTAGGGAGTAACAAGTCCAGCATAAGCTCTCTGTATCTGAGTTAACCGAGAAGGGGAGACTGGCTTATTGAACAAGGGTGAGTCTAGTTAAGTACAGTAATTCACCATAATTATATTGAGAACCTTCTGAAAAAACAAACTCCCTGGTGGTATGGTTGATACAGTGGTTGATAGCAGATGTCTCTGTTCTCAAGAATTTAGAAACTAACAGGAAATAGAAGACATACTTACGTATTTATATTCATTTGTAACTCAAACAATGTTGTGGGATTAAGTAAGGAAAAGCATATAACAGACCTAGGTTCTGATACCAAATGGTACCCCAAATTTATTCTGTTGTTTATATTATACTTTGTTATTCTGTGATATGTTATTATGAGTGGAATGGACTACTGCCTTTGTAGTAGTAGGAGGCTGGAGTGGGTAGCTATGGTCAGAGAAGACCTTTTATCTCTCTCTTCAGTCTAAAAAGCAAGCAGATATGAGTTAAAATCCACACTCTGCTCCCTATTAAGTGTAGTAGACTTTTGTATACATTCTTTTGAGGAAATACCCAGCACCTAACCCTGTTATTAGGTGAGGAAATGTGTGGAGTAAATGTGCTCATCCATATTAGCAAGACGATGGCTGCATTGTCTCCGACTGCAGAAGCAAGATAAATCTATCCCCTCTCTTTAAAATGTATTATCGTTTTGTGCGTATGGGTGTTTTGCTGCATATCTGTCTTGTGTACCACTTGCATACCTGGTTCCCATAAAGGCCAGAAGAGGGTCTCAGATCCCCTTAAACTAGTGTTACAGATGGTTCAAGCCACCGTGTGAACTTGGATCTTCTGGAAGACAAGCCAATGATCTTAACCACTGAGACATCCCTCCAGACTCTCCATTACTTCTGGTTTGTAATCTGAAGCCAGAGCAGCAGCAGTAGGGAACCCAGGCTTGGGCAATAGGCACTTGTGCCCAGGATTTGGAGCCAGGTGATACAAGGTAGTGGGGAATGGAATGTGAAGCAGGACAAGGGCATTTTAGTCCTGCCAGCTACTGCTTTTAACATTCCCTCAAAAGTCAAAAGTACTGAAGAGTTAGTCCTCAAATTTATCTGTTCATGGTATTTGAAGGTTGGTCCTTGGGGAAGTAATTATGATTAGGTGATGTCACAGTATTGAAACATCATGGTGACATTAGTGATTTTATAAGGAAAGAAGACTCAAGCCAGCATTCCTGTTGTTTCCCCACACTTTTCA